AGGAGGCCCAGCGAAACTTAATTTCTTTTTTTGCCAGGGGAGCGATCCTCAAGTCTCTGGGCGGTTCCTTATTTCTGGCCTAGCTCTGAGACCAGCTCAGCAGGGGAGAGGGGAAACTTACATATGTACACTCGATAGACTGTGACTGACTCTGGGAGAGATGGTGTTTTTCCATTTCTGACTTGTAACTGTGGAGTAAGATTTACAAAAACGTTTTTGGTGATGATAAGGTTTAGGTTACTTAGCACTTTGTGTGTAGCACATTATTTCTTGGATGTTTTCCTCAGAGCAGTAATTTGGAATCCTGGGGTCCTTGTGTTCTTCACTGTTGCTCTCTCACACTTCCCAACCCACCTTCACACTCACCTTCCTTCTTATCACACATCTTCCTTCTTCCACCCTATCACACATCTACCTGCCTACCTAAATCTCCCACCAGAACCTACCCATCCCACACACCCTTCCAACCTGTGTACTCCCAGCTTCCCAGCTATGCAGTCTCTTGATCCTCAACCAGTTTGCCTTTTTCAGGATTTCTGAGTGTGGGGAATGTGTTGAGTGATGGTTGTGTGTCTCTGAGGAGGAACCCTTATAAAAGAATATATTAGAGACTACGTAAATAGACAAATACTGCGGGAGAGTTGATTCCTCAGATTCCCAGGTTGGGCCATAAGGGCTACCTTTAACCCCATCCTTTTGCCTCCCAGTACTCTAATCAGTTATCTGGTCATGTTCCAATAGAAGGGAAATGCTGAAGAGAGAGAATCTCTTCCCTACTTCCCACTCTACGCCTAACCCTCACATCCTCCCAACCCTCTCCACTCATCATGCCCTGAGGGGGAACCAGTCTACTGTTTTTATATATTCCTGCCCAATCAATTAAGTTAATATACTAGTATATAATGTGAATTATATTTTTCTGATTGTTCCTTACAACTAGATTTATGTGGTTGAAATATGGGTCTAGGGGCCCAGACGTTCAGAGAGTTCATCCCAAATCTGATATTGCCTTATCTCTATGGCTTTAGGACATTCTTCTGACCTTTCTTTCATAGTTGATGCAGTTGTATAAAAGGCATAATATTGTGTACTAGGTATTGTGAGCTTTCTCTTGGCCTTTGGAAGATGGAAGGGTTCTATACAACCTCAGCATTACACTTTTCAAAGAAAGTGCTTCATTTACCTTTTTATTGGTATAATAGATTGACTGGGTATAAGTAGGAACCCTAGTTTCTGGAAACCTTAACTTGCCATTATTAGTCCCCCTGGAGCCAAATCTATCACCATACTTCGGCCCTAAGTCTGTTTTTCCCCCCTAATGCACAAACAACTGAATAAAACATACATAAAACTAGATATACAGAGTAATGGTGATTATTTTAAGTAGAGGCTTAAATCATATCTAATGTACTGCAACCTAACAATCTGAGTCAGGCTGATCTGAAAACATAACCTCACCCAATTTTTTTTTTTGCCTTTATGGGGGCAGTTAGTTAATTTCTGAAAAGTTGCATAAATAATTTTAGGTATGGCTATATAAGCATGATTATGATCTAGTAGAGTTGAGTCAATAATATTTATTAAGTGCCTACAATGTGAAGAGACCTCTGCTGACTGGGCCGAGGCCCCAGCCTTGGCCTAGTATTTTGGCCTCCTGCTTGTTTGAGGCCTACCTCTTTACTTGCAGCTCCAGGATCAGGACAGGGAGGGGCTGTGAGGGGTAGGGTAGAGGTTAGGGACATGAAGGGGCAATTGTTTCTCTGGTTTACTTTCCTGACTACTAGACTTCTCATCTTGCATGTTGTGCCTTGCATGGCCACCCCCTGGGAAGTACTGCCACAAATCAGAGTGACTTGATTGCTATACAAACGTATCATCTGAACAGTGCAAACTGATTTAGATGAAGTTGGTTTAGTTAATCCCTTCTCTTTAAGTGCAGGACAACCTGCTCCAACTTGCAGATTCTAAAGCAGTGCCAGTGGAGTCTCATAATTGCATCTAAAAATTGCTCTGGGTAGTCAGCCTATCCAATCCCTCCTCTCTCCTCCCATAAAATCTGCTGACACCATGACAGTTGAGAAGGAAACTGCTGGAGGAGTATGTCTTTACCATTCACCAAACCTCATTGGCTTGGTGAAGAGGTGAGAATGTCTTTTTTTACTATATTCCTTGGCACTTAGGTTCTCTCTTTTCCAACTGGGACACAGCTCCTTAAAAAGCAGGTAAAGACAGGGCTGAGTCACAGAATGTGTCTCAAATGGCTTTTCTAAGAGGTACCTGCTTGGCCTCAGGTGTGTCTGTCACTCAGTCTTTATGGATTTTGGTAACTCCCTAGCTATTAGGCAATGGGATTTGGGTGCTAGTGGAGGCCAGTGGTGCTGCATTTCCATTTAGCACTAAGATTTTTGTCTTCTCTGCAAAGGAGAATATGAGGCAGTGTGTTTGCAAAATAACTCCTTACTTAAGCTGAATATCTTGACTTAGAGCCTTGCATCATCAAAATATGACATGTAACATATTGATAACTGGACATACGATATATCAGGAAAGCTCACAGTTTTTCACTTTTTGATGATTAAAAGTTTGGGACCGAGGCGTTATTGCACTAAGATCTGTATTTCCAGTCTCTCAAAAAGCATTGAATTAATCACTGAGCAAGGTGGAGAAAAGACTAGAAAAGTGTTTCTCAGCCATTGTATTGAATAATGCTAACAAGTTTCCCTATTAGCTATGAGGCCTTGGGCAAATTCCTTAACTTCTCTGAGCCTCAGATTCCTCACCTATAAATAATAATAGTATCTACCTTTTTTTCAGCTTGTTGAATTTCTTTATTTTTTTCTTTTTATTGAACTTATTGGAGTGACACTAGTTAACAAAATTATACAGGTTTCAGGCACACAATTCTACAACACATCATCTGTACACTGTATGGTATTTTCTTCACCCTAAATCAAGTCTCCATCCATCACCATTTATCCCACCTATACTCTCCTCTACCTCTTCTCACCCTCTACTCCCTGAGACTAGACATTTATATCCAGTTATCCCCCTGTGCAGGTTGCTAGTCCGCTTTTTATTTTTTCTCTTTCCCAAGATTCAGTATATATTTCTTTCTTCATTTTTCTTGAAGTAGAAGTCTGTTGAATGTCTTCTGTGAGCACTGGAGGTCTGTGGCTATTTCTACTGTTTGTCGTTTTTCATCTTCCCATTCTCCATGGCCATAGGCAGACATCATCTTTTCAAAAGTCAATCTCCCAGCTTCTTCATTTTCCTTAGAAATCCTATAAGCTTCTAAAACTACCATATGTTTAAAATATGGAAGGTGGAGGGATTTTGAATAATGTACCAACATCCCACCACTCCCTTCTCCATGTGGGGTTTACCTGAATGCACACTAGGGTGTTGGTTCAACCTAAATGGGTTAGTGAAATAACCTTAGTAAGGCTTGTCCTACTTGGGTTCCTTTCTCTCTGCAGAGCTCTGACTACCTGATCTTGGGCTTTGTCTCAGCCTCTTTCCTGCAGGTCAGACTCCTATAGTTGATGAACAGAACAGTGTCCCCAGTCTCTGGATCTTCCTCTTACAGAGACCAAATGATCAGATAACAAACTCATTATACAATGTAAAATCCTCCTGTAACAGAAAATACCATTATTTACAATTTGCTGGGTTAATGTGTGGGCATGGAAGATAATGCTAATGCAGGACAATGAAATATCTGAATGTATACAGTCCAGAGATAGAAAAATGGTTTATGGTCCAGAATCCTCGATTCTTTTGTCTATAGCCCTTTGTTCAGTGTTGCTAGGATTCATGTGGTTCCTAGGGGAGTAGAAGTTTCATTTCAAATAGGCTTTTGTTCTCTGTCCCTTGTTTCTGTACTGAACTTGGGGTCCTCTCAGCCTAACATTCAATAACATGCCCTATATACATATATTGCCAATTTTATTCTGTGGAAATAGAGGTGCCTGTCCATTCAGGTGTGCCACTGCACATTTAAACATTTAAGATATTTCAATGGATAACAGAGATTGGGAAAACAGCCCTAGAATAGATGGTAAGCTGTACTAGTAGCAGTAGTTAAATTAAATTTATTCTCCATTTGTTCTTGAACCTTGCAATTGCCAATGCGATCTGCATTAAGATAAAGGTATTATGAATTGTACTTAGGATTCC